TTTTTCGCACTCTTTTACGCTCCAGTCCCGAGGAATTGGAAGCTTCGTTTTCTTCGGTTGCAGGTTTCGGTGGCGGAACAGTTGGTGGAGGCGGCATTATCACGGAAGGTGGAGTAATCGTTTGTTCCCAGGTGTGATCTGATGACGCTCGGAACTAGTGAATCAAGGTTATATTAGAAACATTTTTATCTCTAAATTTAACTTTATGAAATATATTTTATGAAAGTAACTACACGTATCTCACCTGGGAATTATATTGACTTCGAAAAGCAGCTTTCATGGCAGAGAGCCTATCGCTACCAGGTCCATGTCTTTCTAACTTTTTAACTACCTCGCTGATATCTTTGGATGCCTGCGACGTTGATCCACCCTAAAATACAATTATTCCAATTTTTCTAGAATATAGATAATCAATTATATAAATTATTGTTGTGATACATACCGAATTCGACGAATTGGGTCTGCCTCTGAAACCAAGTCCCGCTCCACCAACATTTAAACTTTTTCCTTTTCCACCTTTAAACCTTGATTTTCTGAACCATGCGCTTTGCATAGCCAAATCCATCAAGCTCTTTGGCACTTCCTGATTTGCTCCCTCTAAATTTCTCACTAAATGTCCAGCAAACTCCTTATCTTTTTCCACCACAAGAGTATATGCCGTACCCTTTTCACCGGCTCGTCCTGTTCTTCCTATTCTGTGTGTATGTGTATCGATATCTCGTGCTACGTCGTAATTTACGACAGTCTTGATATGTGGAATGTCCAAGCCTCGCGCTGAAACATCATAAAATGAGAATTTCGCATATACATATATATATATATATATTTAATAATTACCTGCTACATCAGTAGCGATCAAGGTACTGACTTCCTTCTTCTTAAAAGCCGTAATCACTTTATTTCTTTCAATCTGATCCATATCACCATGCAAAAGTAATACATCAAACTCTTTCAGTTTGAGATTGTTGGCAAGTTCTTCCGCGTTCAGCTGATGTAAGGGAAAAACATTAGATTACACATCCCTTTCATTGTACTACAATTATAGGGTGCTTAATTTTCGCACCTTCTTAGTGACAAAAATTAAAAGACTGCCAGCACTTAGAAATTCAATCAAGTTCTGTAACAGCCAGTTCCATTTACCACTAGGATTGTTATGGAACATAATAACATGTTGTGTCACGTCGGTGTTTGCTTCACCAACATCTCCTTGCACTATCCTAATGGGATCTGTTAAAACGTCTCTAGCAAGCTTTTCCACTTTCTTTTTGAATGTTGCGCTAAACAATAATGTTTGTCTGTCAGGTCTCACATGATTACATATAGATCGTACTTGCGGTTCTATAAAAAAAAAGGAAAAATAGATTTGACAGTTCGATATTCTTTCACAAAGAAACTTTGTGTCAAATTCTGATTTTAAAAATAAAAACTTTGAATTTTAAAAATACATATTTAGGCTTATAAATTTACATAATAAACACATTTAGAAAATGTTAGTTGGTGCAAAACAATTTTAAGAAGTGAATATATAAGTAAAACGATTTTTTATTAATCTCCTTTTTTTTCCATTAATCTCAAAAATTATCTAAGATATACAAAATGTTCTACAAATGTTTTATAATAAAATTATCTCTATTTATCCATGTTAATTTTAAAAAAAGTAATTATTTTCAAAATTATTTTTCTAAATAAATATATTATTGAATTTGACACTCTCCGCATTTTTCTATTAGTTTATATTATAGTATGCGTTTTCTCACCAAATCCCATGTCAAACATTCTATCAGCTTCATCCAGAACTAGAAATGTAACTCTAGTTACATTCGTTGCTTTCATTTTAACTAGATCGATCATTCTACCAGGGGTAGCAACTACAATTTCTGCGCCGCTTTCTAATGCCTTGCTCTGTTCCCACTTGCTGCCACCTCCGTAACAGCAACATACTTGAATATTGTAAACTTTTCCAAATTTCTTTGCTTCTTGGTAAATCTAAAAAAAAAAAAACGTTCACACATGGTAAACTCTTTGAACATTTTCTTCTATAAAAGAAAATAAGAATATGATACCTGTTGAGACAATTCTCTCGTTGGTGCCAAAATCAGACCGATTGGACCATCTCCAGCTTTCAATTCACGTTGATCCATAATATGTACTAACATCGGCCAGATAAATGCCGCTGTTTTACCGCTACCAGTTTTTGCTATACCTATTATATCCCGCCCGCTTAAGGCAGCAGGAATCGCCTGTGCCTGAATAGGCGTGGGCTGTGTGTATTCGTTTTTACGGATAGCTTTAATCAAAGCATCGTCAAAACCAAAATGACCGAAACTCGTTACCGGATTCGATGGAGATGGTCCAGATACTTTTATACCCAGAGTTTTTTTTAAATCATCAATCTGCTGTTTACTTAAACTTGCAATTTCTTCATGCACATTGTAAAAATTTTTCTCGAACGGTTCATATTCTATTTCACTATGATCAATCGGAGGTAATGGATCGATCTCCTTCTTTTTTGGTGGCGCAATGGGATTGCCGTCTTCATCATATTCAATTTCTTGATCGGATTCTTCTTGTTGCAAGCCAGCAGTTGGATTTTCTTCCATATACCTTAAGGAGCAAAACAAAGACAAATTGTATATTTTATCAGAATTTTACGTTTAATATGCGATTGATAATCTCTAATAAACTTATACCTGTAGTAACTTTCCTCATCGTCTTCTCCATCAATATCTGCCCGAAATCCTTTAGATTTATCTTCTTTACGATTATCACCCTGCTGAGCCGTGTTACTATTCCGCTTCACTTCTGCATCAATACCTACCATGAAAGCATCCAGAGTATCTTCCTCGCTGTCGCTGTCATCCTTTGTTACCGATTTCTTCATCAAGTCATATGTGGGAGAACCAGGCGCCGGTATATATTCCAACGATGAAGTTGGAGGATCATCATCATCCTCAAAGTATCTGAATTTAAATAGAGATCATAATACTTAATATAGATAATCATTTTATAACATTGATTGCGCTCAAAAGACAAACGTGTTTAGGAGAAAAAGGTTTTGCACAACTATTGTAGGAATTTTTTAATATAATCGATCTATATCTAGTATAAAACTAGGTACAAGAATCACTTATATAATCTTATAATTATAAAGCTGCTTTTTTTTGCAAATATGTTATTTAAATATGAATTATACTAACTCTTCCTCGGTCTTGCTACGCTTCTTAGGCATACCCCAACATGCTGACAAGGCATTTTCTGTAATGGCATTCATCGTGTGATAGCCTTGTTTGCTCAGGGTAGAGTTTGGTGGAGGTGGAGGTATATTGGTACCGCTTCTTTTTGTTCCAGACATTTGGAAACCACTAAAGCCAAAACCTTTTGGCTTGTTACCATTTCCTCGATGATAACTCATTGTTTTGGCTTTAATAAAATAAATGATAATAGAAGCTAATTAATACTTTACCTATTGCTATTGTAATTGAGTTATCTAATAAAGAATACTTTCCAGCCAGAGACAATGATAATACAATGTAATACAGTAAATCATTTATCTTTATTTAATATTGACAAACAAGGATATAACAAAATATATTTTTTATCTCTACAATAGACTGTGCTAGATATTTTTCTTTTCTAATTATTTACATGTATATTTAAATGTCACACTGAAGATGATACAATAAAGGTGTCGAAATGTTTGTAATTAATTTTATTTAATTCAGAAAGATTATATAATAATTTAGCAAAAACATTCAGCATTGGTTTTTTATGCTTTTAGTATCAAAATTGATTTTCTTTTCCACTTTTGAAAATATCAAAACATACCTAGGTATTATAATTTAAATTCCAAAAGTATATACTAGTTCCGCTATACAAAACAGACTTATGATACAACACAGTTGATACAATTCTATCTTTCTTGGCATTTAATGAATAATAAAAAAAATGATATTAGTGCCAACTGTTGGTGCATTCAAGAAAACATTAGTGCTATTTTTGTCATTCTATCTTTGTTGTTTGTTAGATATAAAACAAGGATAGAATAACAATAATAGCATCTTCCCAAACACACCTAGTATCTCCTAAAGGAAAAACAACTTGTGTTACACTGTCATCTGTCTCTTATGTCTCATATGATGGTTCAGTCAGAGTGGATGTTTTTGCTTCAATTTGAGTATCATATGATCTATAAACTTTCGTAAGTTTCCGACTCAGTTAATTTATGCATTTGTACTTTATCCTTTTATATGGTTATACAGTAAAACATTAGAGATAAAGAAAAGTGGTTGATCTCAAATTCCGAGTTTGAAAATAGGGTCATCCAATTAGAGAAGACAAATAATCTGCGTCTCTTGGTGGAAAACACCCATAAATAGCCATTCGGATAAACAGGTAATCTCTGTCGTGCGATAAGACAATATTAAAATTGTTGTAGAAAACAAATTGTAAGCGGCAATGTTCATTTTGCATTTCATCTAAAATATTCGAACGATTAATACATGAAATAAATACAATAACAGACTAAACATCTCATGAGAGGTAATTAATTCGAAGATTAAAGGTTAGGAGTTCTGGAGCACCATTATCGTCGCGGAGTCCATTTTAGTTGGTTTCTCTCCGCTTTATTTACGATGTGTGATTGTAGAAATCTTAACTAGACAATAACTACCTGTCGCACAACGAATTCACGAATCCATTCGCAAAACTTATTTCACTGCCAAACTAGCCGAAGAATACGATTTTCTGTCACGCAAAAAAGCGGGTCACGAACTATACGACGTCATTACTGGCCATTACGTCGCGTCGACTCGTCGAGGGGGCCTTTTCGAACTGAAGCATAAAACTTCTCTCTCCTTTGGTAGATGGTGTTGCTGTAGACAGCCGAATCGATCAGTTCGTAGTTGTGCCGCACGATGGCGTTCCAGGTGGCGCGCGCAACATGGCGGCGCGCGTCGTCGCCGATGAAGGCGCTTAGGCTCTTTCATTTTGTCTGATGCCTTCGTCGAACTCTTATCGAACAGCTCGAACACTTTAAACGTGTAGATTCGAACCGAGGAAACTCTCCTATCTTGGGGCAGCACGAGCGGGCCGTAGAAAAATCGAGAAGGAGAAAGTCTTTGAAGGGCTCGGTTCGCAGGCGGTAGAGGGGTTGTGGAGGGGTTAAACTGTAAACGCCTTTAGACGTATATACGGTGTCGTCCAGTCATCGTCGGTGTTGTTTCGTGTCGCAAGAGAGCACGTCAAATCACGTCGCAAGACGCGAACGGTGCGCTTCCTGTAAGAACGTTACTTCGTTATTTTCGACCCGCCCTATACGTGCTTGTGTGTCGTGCGCGCGCGCGTGGTGTGTGTGTGTGTGTGTGTGGCGAGTGCGTCGCGTGTATGTATGTATGTGTGTGTGCGTGTATGTGTGTGTGTGTGTATATATATATTTCTGTGCGCGATTCGTGGAGGGCTACGATGGAATACGTGCAGATAAAGGATATCCGTGCGGGGCAGAAGAACATCAACGTAGTGTTTATCGTTTTGGAGGTTAGCCACCCTACCATAACCAAAGAGAACCGCGAAGTTCGAACGTTCAAAGTGGCCGATAGCACCGCCTGCATGAACGTCTCCATCTGGGACGAACCTGGGCAGCTCCTGATGCCGGGTGACATTGTACGGCTGACCAAGGGTTACGCGTCCATCTGGAGGCAATGCCTGACCCTTTATTCGGGTAAGAATGGTGACATCCAGAAGATTGGCGAATTTTGTATGGTGATCAACGAGCAAGTGAACATGAGTGAGCCGAATCCGATGCTGGTGCAACAGCTTGTTAACCGGGATCAGAGTGGCTCGGGCCCGCCCAGCAGCAACGTCAACAACAGCATCACCAACAACGGCAATGCCAACAGTATCTCGGGTCAACCAGGACGGCAGCCTTTGGTACATAACTCATTAAGAACCGTGACGATTCCGTCGGCGAGTCAGCGCGGCACTGCGCGGCACGAATTTTTGTAATTATTTATTTCGCTTTCGGTTGAGTTCTTTTCATTGTCCTCGTATTAAATTATACTCGGGACACATCGGTGTTTTTATATAATAATTTACGATGTTTATAGAGACAAGAAAAATGATACAGAGCGATCACCTTGACACTGAATGATGAACGCAGAACGATGTTTTGCACAGCCTTTTTATAGCTACTTTTTAAAAGGCAATGCTGGAAATTAACATTTAATGTTCTTATTTTACATACACTAAAAGTTATTTAGATATGTATTTAGATAGCAACATCAAATGTGAAGTCTAAAGCCTATCTACAATGTACTTTTTGTTTCCCATTTCTTGCTATTTTTTATATCTTGTCTTTTTGCTTCTCTTATTCTGTTTTTCATTTTCTGTCGCTCGAAATAAAAATAAACGAACTTTGGAAGAAACGGGAAACATATAGCAAGAAATATAATTGTCAATAAAACGATCACAAAGATAAAAAAAAAATAGATAAAAAAGCAAGAAACAGGAAACAAAGAACACATTGTAGAATAATCCATAAAAATACTTTAATCCATATTAAAGAACAGCGTCACTACCTATCATGGAACAAAGTCGGAATGGATTCCGATCGGAATTATTCCACGCGTTTTCTCAAAAAAACAATAGAAATCTAGGGAACAATTCCGAACGGAATCCATTCTGACTTTTGTTCCATAATAAGTACCCAGATCGCTTATTCGTAGCGCTTTTGTTTAATCATTTTAATAATTTCAAGCTTTGCACTTAGAACTGTCTAATCGGTGTCTATTGTAGGTAGATGACTTTAATAAACGTAAATTAAAAACGTAAATTATTAGGTCACACTTTTATCTCCTTATGTGGAGCATAGGACGTCTATAGGCCTCTTCCTCTTTGTCCGAGGTCTATATTCGTTTCTCGAATCAGATTGTTTTTCGGATTTGTAGGTGATTGATCCACAGAATCCTCAGTCAGATATTAGAGACAAATATCTATAACTGATATGTATACTGATGTATAGGACCTACCAGTTTAACGCCGAATCCGAACGGCGCTGATGATCATAGATCTTTTGATCACCAGGTGGAGCCATTTTTTGGCTCATTAAACGCTAAAAATCCCGTTTGGGCGCACGTGGGATTGAACTCGGGTCTACAGATCGCGAGTTAATCACACCGAGCGGTGAGCCACTCGACGCCACAAGCCACTTATAATATATATTAAAATTTTTTTATAATTCTGTTTTGTTTTGTTTAACAACTTGCGATTATTTTTTCTGTGACATTGTTAATGACCTAATGTCCTAATAGAAACGTCGAAACGTTTGTTGTCTAATTAAACTACGAAATTTTAACCAAATGACAATTTTTATTTACTAACAATTGTATATTTTAACGAAGAATTTTTTGGCTCGTAGTCCTTTTTCTTTTTCATTATTTAAATATATATCTAAGCCACTTATAACATATATTAATAATTGAAGAATTAAAGGACTCTTTTTATAAACAATAATTAATACGTTGAAAATGGCGAATAAGAGTCAATCTACAAATAGAGTCACTACAATACCTTACTGATGAGTCCAGTAGTGGAAGCCGGGACGAAACGCCAAACATTACGTGATATTCTTCGCAATATAGAATATTAGAATATATTATCAAATTTAGATTGACTCTTATTCGCCATTTTCAACGTATTAATTATTGAACATATATTAAAATTTTTAAAAAATATTAAATTCACAGAAACTCAAAAAATAGCGGAATTGAAAATAGAGATTTTAAGCTTTAAAATTTTTTAATTTAAATTTTGTTCATTTTTAACGAAGTTACGGCTGCGATCAACGATAATATGGCAAAGGACATTTTATACTTAATGACCTAACATTTTTCAGATATGAATATACAATTGTTGGTTAAAAATACAACGATAAAAACGAAACTGCGTTCTTAAATTCAATATCCGGAGAGATCGTTCTGTATCCCTCACCTTTGCTAATTGTAAATTATTTTATGAAAGTGCTGATGTGTCTTGAGCTAATTTGATACGAGAATAACGAATCATTATTAATTTTATTATGTAATTAATATTTTTTAGAGAGTTTATTTAAAACATTTATTTTACAAATTATATTTCTTTTAGTTACCAATTTTATTGTTTACTAAAAAACTAACACGCTAATTATGTAATAGAAAAAACACACCATATAAATTAGGCCTAAATATTATATCGAATCTAATTCATGGAACATATGAAAGAATGTAACTTGAATATCTCGCCATCTCAATAACACCGAGCACAGTTTATTGCAATGAAGTAAAATACATGTAATTTGTCGTAGGCAAGTCAAAGTAACACAACAACTCCTGGTAGCGGATCCGCGGCAAGTTCGACGACCGCAAAGAGCGGAAACGGCGGTAGTGGAAGCAGCGGCAACGGCGGCAACACCACCAGCAGCGGTGGAAGCAGCGGCGGCAGCAGCGGCGGCGGTTCAGGACTATCCGGTACCTCGGTGCGATACTCCTCGTCGGACTCGACGACGAAGTCGGCGCCGACGACCAAGAGCAACTCGCGCGGACGCGGCAGCTACAGGAACGGCGGTCGTAGCGACCGGAGATAACACACGAGAAGGAAGCGGGTGATCATATGCGTGTAAACGAGGGAACGAACGAATAAAGCGCGCGACAGATCTGTTTGACTTGTTATACACAGTTTTTCTGTTTTTTTTTTTTTTAATTTTAGGTTTTGATGCGCGTTTTTTAAATCAGGAAGTTACTTACATGTTAGTAGCAGCGGCTGATTGTCATATATTTCGCTTAATAGCGAATATCGCGAAGTTTTGTTTGTTTTAGTAGTGATGTGCATTTGATTCTATCATCGAGCGATTCTGCTATTGTGGTTTTTTGTATTGTTTTATAGGCATATCATTTGAATCCTTCCAGAATTAAATAAAAAGCTTTTATTTAAAAAATGATAATCTTAACAATGCAAAAAGTTTTGAATTTTTCGAAAACTTTGAAAGACATGAACGAGATTAAAATCTCTTGTGAAACAGAAGTACATACTACATATTGATATAAGTATTGCATATAGTATATATTATTTTTTGAAATTTAAATTAAGTTATAGAAAACTTTATATAGTTAATGTGTTTTATTAAAAGTGTTATATTCAAAATGTTATATTGTATTATATTTAAAATTTTAAATATTGTTTATTTTTAAAACATTTAAGAAATATATTAAGTATTTTTTGAAATGTTCTAAAATAAAATTCTTCAAGATTTTAATAATTGTTAAGATTGTTATAACTTAATTATTTTCAATATTCACAGAATATATTCCCGATATTGTATAATATTTTCGAACAGTATGTTAATAAACTATTAACATCATCACTAATTCATTGATGGTTTGAAATTACAGATTATTTTTATAATTGAAAGTGTCTCATGCTTCTAGCAGATTTTTTCAACACATGTATATTGGATAAAAAAAATCTTTGTGCTCGTGATATCTTTGAATGTAGGGTGATGCTTAATTACATACAACAAGCAAAGTATATTCTAAACAAATGTCTTAAAAATTAAGATACATTAATGTATGCAAATTATTTAGTATATTTTGTATCAAAGATAAAATATATGTCAATGAGAATAGAAATTACTTTATTATTAGTAATTATTTTGTATTAATAATGGGATCAAATTAATTACTATAAAGGAAAGACTTTCTTGTAAAGAAAGAGAGAAGAAGAGAGAGAGAGAGAGAGAAAGAGAGGTCATACAATGAAACTAAAATTTATTCGGATCAACATACAGATTCTAGTCATACATCATTTATAATAGTTCCTTATTTTAAGCGATTATTCCTATTAGGAAAAAAAATAAGTCTTGTAAGAAATGCTGTTACAGCTAGATATTTAGGAAAAATTATTATTTTTGAAATGTTGCATATTATGCATTTATTTAATGTGTATTGTATGTGATTAAAAATCACCTCTATTTTATATATATATATATATATACACACACATATATGATATGTTTTATATGATCTGTCGCGCGAATGTTTGTACTCGAATGTATCGAATACTTCAATTTCATTCATGATCAATCATTAAATCTTAAATGACGCGAATCAATTATTCATTATCAGTAGTTCATACATACAGTCGGGACCGGTAAGTTATTACAACACACTGTATAATAATAATAAAAAATTGTATGATGAAAATAAAAAATCAAAAACTCTGAATTTGTAAATTCCTTTTTATTTGTCTGACAATTAATTTGTTTAATAGCAACTGATTTATTAAAATAAGAAAAAATTATGTATGTGAAGATAAACTAAGAGTTTAAGAGTTTTTTTTTTACCCTTCTCTACTTTTTAACTAAAATATCCTGAGTACGCCTATGTAAATGCTTATAAAAAATTACGAATTATTAAATATTTCAAGATCATAACAGTTCAAGTGTTCTATAACGAGTAAATTTTGTTGTTAATTTTTTATTTCTTATTATTTTAAATTATTTCGATATCCTACAGAACAGACCATGATCAGACTGACGACCTAATAAATATAATAAGTTATCCACTGAGAATATGTGGGTATAGCAGAAACTCGCACTGTATCCATTTTTGGCGCTATGATTTTATCGACAAGGTCATAAAATGAGTGTGCTACGTAATGCACATTTTTTAAATCGATATAATGGCGGTAGTGTACGTGCAGGAGATTTCGTCGGAAAAAAAAGGTTAGGATGTCCTATTGTCCTATTGTCAAGCGTTGTCAGATTTCTGCATTCTATGCATTTTATGCGTTTGATACAAGAATCATTAGTTTAAAAACGTAAAAGTTTGCACAACTTTGCGCATATATAATAATCAAAATGGAGCAGGTATTACAGCATGTATATAAACTACGTTCAATATGTGACATGTTCATATATTATAAATTTTTAAAGACAATTTGTGCATTGTTAAATAAAATTGTGCTATTACTAAAGCACATGTCTTGCAGACTAATGCTTTTTTATTTGTTAATTACATGTTTCACTCTATATATTATATGTCGATAATTACGTCTTTCTAATTTATAAAAATGTATAGTTAGCTCTGTATTCTTTCCAGATTTTTGTAACGTAGTTATATTCGTAGTGTTTCTGATACCTCAACATTACATCTCAATTTTTATTTTTTTTATTGATGATTTGTAGTTAAAAATAAAGATTAATATTATTTTATATATCCTTTAGACAAATACAAATTTTTTCTTAATTGTGAAATTTGTGTTAAATATTATAATGTGTATAAATAACATCCATACATTTAACAAATTTGTAAGGTTAATTAAGTTATTTTGAGTAGCTCACACGAGTAATGAAAGATTAAGAATGTAATAATTGAATTGCTGTTAATTTCAGCAATTTTACTTCTATTAACCCTTAGCTGGCACACTTCTTTAGAATCGCATAACTGGTACAGTGGGGCGTAACTCAATAATAAAATTGCTTGCTGCAAGTAGGCTATTTGTGATATTTTGACTTGACAAAAATTCAGGATATTCTTAAAATATTACTTTAACAAATGCTAAAGATTATTTTAGTAAAATTTAATTTTAACACACAGCATTACAAGTTTTTAGTAAAATTTAATTTTAACAGACTGCATTAAAAGTCCCATTCTCTAACAATAAAGAGCCTTTAATTTAGAGTTGACATATGCTGGGGTGTCTAGTACCCCATGGTGCCAGTTAAAGGTTAAAGTTAGGAATTATAAAAGCTGTTAATTATGCTGCTAAGTTACATATTTAGAATATTTAATTATTTGCTTCTAATTGTTATGTCTGTTTATTTAGGACTTAAAAGCTAAGATTGATCATGCTTGTCGTACTGCAGAAGACTTCACAAAGTTGTATTATGAATCTTTAGACAAGCGGAGATATGTAAGTAATAATAATCAGAATAACATTGTCAAATGTATTCATTCTGGATTATGTTATATTAATATAATAATCATACAAATATATTTTAGCTGATTTCAAGAATGTATATGGATACTGCTACTCTGATATGGAATGGAAATGGTTTAACAGGCAAAGAAACTATACAGAAATTCTGGACAGATTTACCACCTTCAGAACATACTGTTCTTACTCTTGATGCTCAACCAATCACAGGTAAGATTTTCAATAACTGCACTGTGATTAAATAAATTATAATAAACTTGTATTTTTTTACTGTAAAGGTATCAAAGAAATACAAGTTTATAAATATTAAATAATATCGTACATTAATGTATCTTAATTTTTATAACTTAAATTTTGATAGAAGTTATAAATAAATTCTCAATCGCATCTAAATAAATTCTCTTATTATAATTGCACATTTATTTCATCATATAAATATTTATCTTAATAATGCGCAAAATCAAAATTTTCTATTGTTATGTTTGTACTATGTTAACAATAGGTCCAGAGATAGCCGACCAATTAACATTTCTTGTCAAGATCGGTGGTCAAGTAAAGTACGACGAGAAGAATTCAAAGCCATTCAATCAAACCTTTTTAATTACGGCTATAGGCGATAAATGGAAAATTGTAAGCGACTGTTTTCGAGCACAAGATTTATTTGATAACAGTACAAGTTAGATAAATTAAGTAGGTGCATTAAGATAATAAACTGATTTTATACTATAAAACAGTTCAATACTTTAAGAAATTTCACTCCTGTAATATGTATAATATATGATGCATTTAAATACATATATATATATGTACATAGCTATATAATATATATGTATATTTACATACATATATATAATAAATTCACAATATATGTATGTATTTATTTATCTGACAACATAATAGCGAAGCTACAATTAGACAAGTGCATTGCTATGAAAGATAAAACTGAACAAAACTTAATTGAAAAAATTTGATAATTTTTTTTGTAATTTTGTATTAACGTATAAAAGAGAGAGAAGAATGTAATATTAAAGTTTTGTATTAATGAATTGATATGTTGGTTGATTTTATGAAAAAGATTATAAAAATACAAGACACAATATACACAATTAAAATTATTATAGCAAAGGAAAAATAATAGAAGATCGAATGAAAGATAAAAATCGAATTTTTTTTTATTGTACAGAATAGAATTTTCTATTTTCAAAAATGTATTTACACAAAGAAAAATAAGTTGCTGATTTTATTTCTATGACCTATTAAATGTTTACGAATTTATTGTGATATTTGAAACATTGTTAAGAACCGAGTATAAAAATCATTAAGGTCAAAAACAATCGTCAGATATAATTTGTCTTTTGTTTCGTACGCAATGAGTTATCTTAATATCGAAGGGAACATCTGTTGATCGTAAGCTCATCAAATCTGTAAAAAGAAAAAATTGAAAGATAATATTAAAATTATTCAATTGCTTTTAATTTTCTTGTATTTTTTAATTTTTTGATACAGTACTATATATCGAGTGTTGTATACGTTCTTTTAATTCTGATAGTGCATTATCACTACGTACGGTACAAGCAGGCAGATAATTTTACATTCCAGTGCGGTACGTATTTCTTTTCTAAAATATTCCATAAATTGATTGTTAAGTTTGAGCACATGCAACAATTTGCTAAAGAATGATATCATGGATTTATGCTTATAGAAAAAATATTTTATTATCAATATTATTTGTATAATATTTTGATAAAAATTATCTCAAATTTACAAACTACTATGTATGTTATTTAGAATTGAGCAGTTTATAAAAAGAATATCACATATTTTAAGTAAATATATATTCGATTAAAATTGCTTTCCCATACACATTATTAGCGCCACTATCAATTAATGTCAACCATGTAAAATTGAATATATCGTAATTATCTATTTTATTAAAAATAAATAATTTTTATGTGTATTATAGGATATTTATATCTTTTAAAAATGGAGTACAAAATTCTTTTCTTATCGTCTTTTAATGTTTTATACAAAAATAAAATTTAGATCTTGTCCTTTATTTTTCAAAAATTAATAACAAAATGTTGTAGATATATGTTTATGTAATTGTTTGAATTAAATTGTTTATTAATTTACTTGGCTCGTTGCCTTCTTTATATTTACACTGTGATATTACAAAGTATTTTATATATTCAATAATTATATTTGAGTTTTAAATTTGTAATTATTTAGTTAATTTAAATAGATATTCCAAATTGCACATTTCTTGAATGATATATTCATTGCCATAAAAATGTCAACGCTATACATAGATTAATTTTTATCTCCGTTCAATTTACTTCTTATCTTTTTCTGATTGTGAAAATTAGAAAGAAGTAAGCAGTAAATTTAACTGAGATTAAAGTTAATCTTATATTGGTGGGACCAAGCTTTAATCATACTGAATATATATGAACCAATGATAAAAATTCTTCAGTATTATCGAACAAGTAGATATTGATATGTTGTAGAAACTCAAAAGAAATGCTATTAAATATGACGCGGGCCAGAGTTTTTATTCGCGAAGTCAACAGTCTGCGTTTTCCATTAAAAATGCAGTTCCGCACAAGATCGATCAGAAATTATCCGACAGAATCTAATGAAATAGGAGACACGAGTATTAACTTGCGACCGACCGAGGATATTCCTGGTCCAAAAGCATTACCTTTGATTGGCAATTTATTCAGATTTATGCCTTATATAGGTGAGTTATTTTACTGATGCCTAATATAATGAAATCTCGTTAATTATTATTATTGAAATTCAAATTTGTATCTAAAATATGGAAGTAAAATCGAATGACATACAATTTCGTATATAGATAATAAATAATGAGATCTTCAGATTAGTTATTAATTAATAAGCAAATATGAGCTAAATATATAATTCTAAGTATCGGTACAATATTTTATTTTTATTATTATATATTGTTTTTATTTTAATGTCCTTTAAACGCATAAAGGTTTAGATAAATATTACCAGAATGATATAAGTTAAATAAATAATGACAAATAATCATAACAGATAACAAATAGATTCGAGTCACTTTATATATTTAAACTTTTATTTGTTATTTAATATACGTAAACTTTTATAAAAAGAAATATTCAGTCAGAATGGATTTTAATGCCTAATAATATTTTTGTGAGAATTCATGTATATTTTCCAGTTTATACAAACTATATATACTGATTATTTGTCAATTTTGAATATATAAGTTTATGAAGAAATATTATTATCTAGTTAATTAAGATTTATTTTAATCGAGAGAATAAGACACTTTCCGGTTATTAATGTTATTTACATATCCTTTTCACTTATTATTAAATATTCTGAATGTCTATATATTACATCATTCATCTACATTTTCTGGTTTATTATTAATTCTTAGTTTAAAAATTTTTTTTAATATTGAATTATTTTTAATGGAAGATATATTTAACAAAATATAAATAAGATATTCAAGATTGACAAATAATCAATGTATAGTTTGTATAAACTGGAAAATGTACATAAATTCTCGCAGAAATATTATTAGGTACTAAAATCCGCTCTGACCGAATATTCCTTTTTATAAAACGTGTATTAGATAATCTATTGTTATAGATTTGTTATCTTATTATGCATGAAACAAATGTATTCAGTATTTAAATATATTTTTTCTTTCTCTTGATCTTTTTTATTTATATAAATCATAATTATTTGTATAAATTATATAGGTGAATACTATAATGTGAATGTTCTGACACTTATGCGGATGCTGCATGAAAAGTACGGCAATATCGTCAAACTTGACGGTTTAAAGAAACAACCAACTATTTTTTTATTCTGTCCAGAATTATGTAAAAGTATGTATCAGTTGCAAGGCAAAATTCCAATACGAATTGCCATGGAGCCCTTGCACAACTATCGTAAAAATAGAGAAGACATTTACAAAGGACAGTATGGTCTCACAACAAGGTCAGTAGATCATGGAAAAGAATATAAGTAATCAAACTTCTGTATATATATAATATATATATATATATGTATATATGTATGTGTGTATATTTTTAACACATCTATGTCCAACAAAAGCTCTATTTTTAAATACTTTTTTCTTTTATTTCTTTCTTTTACTCTCGCATATCTTAACAAATTGCCTAATGTCAGCCTATAAATTAAGTAATTTTCTTTTCTGTTAATAAAAATGACTTTCTGCTTTTAGTCAAGGAGAACTGTGGAAGGAGTTTCGGTCAAAAGTTGGTCCACATATGATGCGACCAAAAATAGTGAAAATGCATGTTGCACAAATTCACGATATAACTAACGAGTTCGTGGATAAAATATCAACACTGCTAGATCCTAAAACGCTGGAATTGCCAGATGACTTTATGAACGAATTATACAAATGGAGTGTAGAATGTAAGTATGTATACATGTATGTGAGATAATTGCAACATATTTAAGCCGTCAATGTTTTAATAATTCTCTTTGAAAGCGAAGCACTGAAAAAAAATAATATGAAAAATATTAATCATAGTTAATAACTTATTTTCTATATATTTTTTACAGCGATGTGTTCAATAGCATTAAATTACCGAATGGGGTGCTTAAAGTCTAATCTTGCCATAGACTCAGATGCGCAAATAATGATTAATTGTGTAAAGGAAATGTTCGATCTTACGTATCGTATAGAAAATGTACCATCTCTATTAGAAATAAATAATAGACGGAATTATCAAAAGCTGTTCAATGCATTAGATAAAATTAATGGGTAAGTATAAAAATTTATATTAATTATACTATATTAAAGGACGTACTATACTTGCAAACATTTTACGAATTTATTACTTATTACTTTTATCTTCATCTTCTTACATATACTTCTTCACAGGGAATGGAAGAGTTACTTTTACAGTTATCATTACAGTCATAAAAAATTGCAACATTGTTATAAAAAGTAACTGCAAAAGTAATTATAAAAGTAACTCTTCCATTCCCTGCTTCTTCAACATCTTTGTATAACTGTAACTGTGAATAGTTGTTATAAAGAAACGCTTATATTCTATTTTTTTTATTGTTAGAATGCTAACTGATGTTTTATTTTTACAACTTATCATTGTCATAATTAGTAATGCTTCTGCCAGTCATAGTTTACTTTTATTTATAATATAATTTATATTATGATTTCCTTTAGAATTTCCGCGAAATACATCGAGAATGCTAAAAATAATATTTTGAAGACTGCAGACGCGGATAGAGACTATAGTATACTGGAAAAACTTTTGTGCATTGATGAACAAACGGCTCTTGTAATGGCTTTGGATATACTAATGAGCACTGATACGGTAAAAAACGTTGACTTTAATCCAATTTTTATTTGTGAATTATATAGAAATTGTACAATATTTTTTATAAATAAAATTAATCTCTCAGTACATAAAAATATTCCGGCAAATAATAAAATAATATAAATAATAGTTACAAAATTTTCATAACAATTGTTCTAAACAATATGTACATATAATATATATATATATATATAAATATGTATATATATTTATTTATGTGTATACACAAACACAGGATATAACATGATGTGTATACTTAGAAATTTGCAATGTATAATATAGAATTAAAAAACCTTATTTAGCAAAAATAATAAAATTATTAAAATATAATTAAGATTGAATAACATTTTTATAGACAAGCAATGCGGCTGGTGCTTTGCTATATCATATCGCAAATAATAAGGAGAAACAGGAAAAATTGCGAAAAGAAGTAATGTCTGTATTACCTGACAAAACAACACCTATTACACCTGATGTTTTGGAAAAGATACCGTATGTTAAGGGCTGTATCAAAGAATCTATGCGACTGTTTCCCATCACCAATGGTATTCTAAGAAATATGCCAAAAGATGTTTCTTTGGGAGGATACTTCATACCAAAAGGAGTATGTCGTCTTTTAGTATTTTTCTAAATTATATAGATTAAGTGTGTGCGTGCGTGCGTGGGTACGTGGGGGTGTGTGTGTGTGTTTTTGTTAATGGCTTAGAATATATATCAATTAAAGCATATTTCAAGATTTTTAACCCATTTTTTTGCTCTAGATTGAAAATTTGCAGGGAATGGTCTTCTTACAGTTAATTCATAATCATATATGTATAATAGTTTCTTATTTTAAAAATTATTTTATAATTCTTTATTTCACAAAACATAAGTGAAATTTTATATGTTATGAAAAATAATGAAATAAGATCGCATTTTTCATGATTTCTTTCTTCATATCATTAGACAAATGTGATAGCTTGTCACGCAGTCCTTTCGATGGATCCTAAGTATTTTGCGTGTCCTATGGAATATATTCCCGAAAGATGGATACGGGATAGTCCTGAATTTTCATCACATAAAAGTATACATACCTACGTATACATGCCTTTCGGTTATGGTGTTCGCGCTTGTATTGGACAAAGATTCGCTGAGATGGAGCTCGAGATATTACTCTTGAAAGTTCGTAAACTTTTACTTTTTTTATAATTTCTAACATCAAATAGCATCTTAATGATTGTGAATCCTCAAGACTAAACAAATCTCCCCAATTTTCGTTTAGTTGTTACGTCCACAAAGAATTCATAAGTACATTTTTCTATATTCTATAATAGTTACACACGTATATGTATGTAATAATTTAAAATGAACATGATTACATGTTATATCTTTTCATATTTTCTTTTAAATATTAATTTTATAATTTTTATTCTAACAATAATAAGCTAAACGTTTAATTTGTTAACACAATTTTTTGTACAGAATTTAATGATCATTGTTTCAATAGGAATCATGAGCTGAGGAATTATTTTTAAATAAATTTCATTAATTTTCGAGATAATTCTCATGCAGATCAATTGCAAGAATATTATCCATATTATATTTTTCAATTATTTTTGTTATACATTGTAAATGGAAAGAACATATAAAGGTATATTTGTTTCATATATAGGTCATACGAAATTTTCGGATTGAATGGCATTATGGACCACTTGAACACGAGAGCCAAATTGTAAATACGGTGAAATCACCGTTGCGATTCAAGCTCATCGATTTGTAGACTCAGATATTATTTCCACAGCTCAATCATCGTCCCATCAATACCGAATTGTACTAACAATGTTTTTTCTAATAAAATATTTAATCTAATAATACATTTTAAAAAAATAATTTTTTTTAAATATGTTATTAGAAAAAACATATTAAAAAAAAATAATTTTTTTAAATATGTAGTATATAGTATACATATATATGTACGTATGCTATATTACATGTTCTTGATGTTACATACAGGGTATTTATTATTACATATCTATATATAACTATATACCTTTTAAAGATAGAAAAAAGTGAATTAAATTATAATAAAAATCCTATATATCTGGCTTTGCGATTTACGTGATAATTAATGAGAAATTATAATTAATAACAAAGATCTGCGAATGTGTGTGTGTATGTGTGCGTGCGTGCGTGCGTGCGTGCGTGCGTGCGTGCGTGCGTGCGTGCGTGCGTGCGTGCGTGCGTGCGTGTGATGTGTGTGTGTGTGTGTGTGTGTGTGTGTGTGTGTGTGGATATTTGCGAAATTTAGTGAGAAAAGGCAATGGCTGCGTTCAGCAGAGAAAGCAGCTTTGCAACTGTTGTAAAATTCTTTAATATGATTGGTCTTGCCCTTATTTCCTCATTAGATCTAAATGTATAAGCCAATCATATTCAAAAATTTTACAGCAGTTGCAAAGCTGCTTCTTTTGCTGAACGTAGCCAATGTTATATGTCGTTTGCTAAAGGGATGAATGTATGTTGATTTGCATTTATTAATAAGTTTCTCATTAATTATTACAAAAATTGAAAATAATACAAAAAATTTGTCTAATTATCCACTTTATTTGCCCATAAGAGGACGAGTTATGTGTATTTATTAGACAATAGATACCCTGTATGAAAATATATATATGACAATTAATATACTATAAGACAATATAATACTATACAATATAAGACAATGGGTGCATCCAGAAGCACGACCGCTCATTGACTGCTCAGTGAGCTCTTGTACCTGTTTAGTTTATATTTTTAAACCTAATGGAATATGCCAATCAGATAAAAAAGCTCTGTTTTGATGCTGAAAATGAGCGTTGAACATCAGCATGAAGAGCCAACTTTAGTGATTATCACCTGCCAAATTTGTGGCTCATTGAACGCTTAGTAAGCGGTCGTGCTTCTGGATGCACCTAATATATGTGTACTATATAATATAAATAAAATACACATATATAAATATAACATTTTATACTTTTATACTGTAATTGTAATTTTTAATTATTTTGACAAGATAATGATACGAATTATACATTGACGATGATATATTTTATTATAGATCTTATTGCGATGCTAAAAAATGTAAGTAAAGTGCAGATTTGTATTTTGTATTAGTAAATATTTTTATATTTTGAGAAATAAACATTTGTATGCAAAAAATTATAATTGTTTATGTTAATTTCCTATAATTTAATTATTATATGTTAATATAATCAAGAGAGATACGATATAATGTCTTTTGGCGCTAAGACATATTTCAAATGCTTATTTTTCGTGTACTTATATATACTACGCAATTGTTTAAATTGCAGTTTCGCGCCTCTTCTGCATCTGTATGCGTTCGTTCCGAAACTCATCAGGAAGAAACATCGTTTCAACAATCGGCATTTTCCGCCGTCGGGCGTATCATATGCATGGTCGTGGGGGTCGTGGGTGCGGGGTGCGGGTGCGTAAATATATATACTATTGTTGTGCGGCGTGGCCGCTACGTAATTTCCGAGCAGGTGTAGAATGTGAGAACGTTGGTGCGAATTGACGCGGACGCCGCGAGATTTCAGAATTAGAGTTAGCTTCACAAATTTGGTAGGTGATAATCACTAAAGTTGGCTCTTCATGCTGACGTTCAACGCTCATTTTCAGCGTCAAAACAGATCACATGATCATGTAATCTGTTTTGATGCTGAAAATGAGCGTCGAGCATCAGCATGAAAAGCCACCTTAAAGAGTGGTAATCGCGACGGTGAAGAGACATAAAGAGAGAGAGAGAAAGAGAGAGTGGGCGGTTCGCGTCTCATGTCTCATCTACAGGTCAATGGGCGTCTTGATTTGACAACGAGGATCCAGGATGCTGAGGTTCCTGTCGCGACGGAGGGCGCGTGGTGTCAGCGGTCAGACCACTTCGTCACAGATCAAGAATCAGAGACTACCCAGCAACAAAAATGTTGTCCAGTGCAGGGTGGTATTGCTGGATGGCACGGATCTACCTATAGAATTGTCGGTAAGTTTTTTCTTCTGTTTCTTTTACCTTTAATTGTTGTCATAGTCCTTCTAATGTTTTTTTTATCTTCATATAATTGTCATAAAGATAAAGAAAAAAAGCATGAGACTAGAAAAGAATCTATAAATCAGACTAGAAACTAAAAAATGCTTTTTACATATAATAGTTGCACTAAATATTATATCATTTAACACATTTAATTATCCAATTTCCAGGCTTTATAATTAATATTAATTTTGTAATTTTGTTAAATGTTATTATATAGCAAATGTGTAACATTTTGTGCTCCATTCTGTAAATTCTGTCTATATATACATGTGTTATTTTGTAATTGTTGGTCTTCTTTTGCAGAAAAAAGCATTGGCTAGTGACTTATATGAACAAGTATTTTATAGCCTTGATTTAATTGAGAAGGATTACTTTGGACTCCAATACACAGACAGTAATAATGTCCAACACTGGCTAGATCCAACAAAACCAATCAAGAAGCAAGTTAAAAGTATGTATGTTTTCTAAATTCTTTCAAAAGCAGACAAACATAAGACTTACATAATTTTTTATTTAGTTGGACCTCCGTACACACTTAGATTAAAAGTAAAATTCTATTCTTCGGAGCCAAACACTCTACGTGAGGAGCTGACGCGGTACCAGTTCTTTTTGCAATTGAAGCAAGATGTTCTGGAAGGCAAACTTCACTGTCCTCATCAAGTTGCGGTTCAGTTAGCTGCTCTGTCTCTTCAATGTGAGTTTATTCAAACAGTATTTCTAATCACTTTGTTGTTATTATTATTAGCTATAATAAAATTGTAGCTGTTATTGTGTGACAAATGATGTACCATTAAAAGGTAGAAATCTTATTCTAGCTGAATTAGGAGATTATGATTCTGCTATGCATACTGCTGCGACTGTGTCAGAATTTCGCTTTGTACCAGGCCAAACAGAACAGATGGAATTGGAAATACTGGAAGAGTACATTAAATGTTCTGGTCTCACCCCAGCCCAAGCAGAATCCGCATACCTTAGCAAGGCCAAATGGCTAGATATGTATGGCGTTGACATGCACATTGTTCTTGGCAAAGATGCCTGCGAGTATTCTCTGGGCTTGACTCCGACTGGCATCCTGGTTTTCGAAAGCACGCAAAAGATAGGCTTGTTCTTCTGGCCGAAGATTGGTCGTTTGGACTTCAAGAAAAAAAAGCTGACACTAGTAGTCGTAGAAGAGGACGATGAAGGCAGAGGCGAGCAGGAGCATACTTTTGTGTTCAGATTGGTGAACGAGAAGGCTTGCAAGCATCTATGGAAGTGCGCGGTCGAGCATCATGCTTTCTTCCGTCTACGCGCACCGGTCAAGGGCACCAGTGGTCGCCAGAATTTTTTCCGTATGGGTTCGCGTTTCCGTTACAGCGGCAAAACAGAATTTCAGACAACGCAACTGAATCGGGCACGCCGCACCGTACAGTTCGAGCGACGACCGAGTCAGAGATATGCGCGACGACAAAGTCACGTTCTTCGCGAAAGGCAGCGTCAACAGCAACAGGTAGAGCAGCCACAACCATCTCCACCTCCAGGTGAGCTGAAATATACGTTAGCATAATAATTGGCAATCTTATATATTTCGAAATCTAATATTTTATCATTAAACCTTGTTTATTTAAAAAAAAAGAATTTTTTACAAGCCGCTTAAAAATGCGAATAGACAATAAAATATTGTATTTTAATTTATTTGAACTAAATTATATATATTTTGAAAAAAATGTTTTATCAAAATATTTTTTAAATATTTTTTAGATCTTGATAAGACAAATGTGATATTCATAATTAAATTTTGACACATAAAAGATAATATAAATTATTAAGAATTTTCTAATCGAGTCGATCCAGTACAAAATCTTCGAATTCCTCGAGTGTTCAGGGCACGTCATCGCCTTTGGTAGATTCTTTGTTGAAGTCTCTCGCCAAAGATCAACAACCACTGGAGGCCAGGAACCAAACGACGGTCGGCAGTAGCGAGAAAGAGTCAGAACCAATGAAGACCAGTTTGACGGTTGAAACTATCGCCAATCAAGTGCAGCTAGTGCCTAATAATCAAGTGGGTGGAACGTCGTCGTTACCTCCTCGAACACCGATCCCACCGGAGTCCCTAAAGTGTAACATACTGAAGGCTACTCTTGAGCAGGGGAAAAACTCGAATTTGGTCTCCATCACGTCCACAGAAAGTTCTGGAGTGATTGCAAAGAAAAATCAACACTCAGATGCAGCAACTATCGTTTCTGTGGTGAGCATCGTTATCACTTTCATTTATAATTTTTCCTATTTTTATAGTTTTGTCCTGCTTGAATCATTTACCTTATACGCCTTTTGTGTATATGATCATATTTTTTTATATTTTATAATTTTTAAAATTTGAGGTATCTTTGCTTAGTAATATTTAACGTATTTTTTGCATTTTTAATTTTGTCAAGATTATTCTGTTGCTGTTTATGTTTATATTTATTGTGTCTGCTTTTTGTTAGACGCGAGCTATAATGTGTTTGCTTTCTTGCTTTCTTCATCAAATAGGGTGGTGACAAATTGACTCTCTCTGTGAGTGGTGCTACGACAGCAGTAAATCCTTCTATGGACGATGCTGTTACTGTAACGCATTTTTCATTGGATAGTTGGGGACAGATCGAACAAAAAACTACACCGTTAAGCCCAAAAGTATCGAATCAGTCGCAAAATCCTTTCAATCCGTTCACTAATGATAGCATCGACACATCTAATACGCCCGAAACTTCCGAGGAGGAAGCGAAACCGGAAGACGACAAGAAAAAGAACACCAATCCGTTCATAGACTCGAATCCCTTCTTGGGTATTCTCAATCCTTTCAAAGATTTACAACCGGTTACAACAGAGAAAAAAGTCGAGGCGGATACAGAAAAAGTCGGAGCACGAGTTGTTAAAACTGAGGAGATACAAACGACCACTACAACACTTACACACAAGGTCAGTCACATTTTTTACGCTTGCAGTCCAGCGTCTCGTCTATTATGTAAACACTCTTCAGTTTCACCAAGAATGGAAAACTTACTTTTAGAATAAGTCTAAGAAACTTATCATTTAGCGCTAATCGTAAAATAAAAGTAAGATTTTATTCTGTGAGAGTAAGTTCAATCTGTTGGTAAAAGCGTAATAAGAATTTGCTTTGTGTTTCACGTGAAAATTGTCCCTCTGTGTGTATGTGAATAGTAAAGTGTATTAAATATTCTTTGAGTTCATAATTTGAACCATTAAAATTTGACTATTATAAAGATAGTTAACATAAATAATCAAAATTATTAATATTCTGTAAAATAAAAATTTTTTTTAATAATTATTATCAATCGATAAAAATTAATTTAGAATAAAGTATTAAAATACGTGTTTTGCAGGATGAGAGTCAAGCGGCATCAGACATTAGTCCTTGGCTAGTAGCGGATCCGTCGCAAAGTCCAGCACCTGATCAAACACCAACTAAGCATACAATAATTACGAGAAAGACGGTAATTACCACACAGTTATAAAATATTTATTAAATATTATAAGGGGAGAAAAATAATGTCGATGTACAACGCGCGAGAAAGTAGCATCAACGTACGACTATATATATTTACTTTGGTCTTCCTCGGACTGCCTATAGCTTTCTTTTTTTACTTGCTTTACAAAGTGCGTGATGTTAGTCATGACAATTACGATAATCGTAACAATTAAAAAGCATGTAAAAAAACTACATGTTAAAAAATAATTATGAAAAGATTTTATAAGTTGTACTTAGACATAAAAAGCAGAGTACCATTTTGGGAAGGCATTGCTTAAGTCACTGTTAGAATATTTTTCAATTAATAGAATAGTCGTTTTATGCCGACTAAGAATTTGCATAATGAGATAAGCTTTCTGTTTATAGCATCATGAACATTTCTTAATTGTACAATGCATTTATCTTAAGCTTATTTGTTGATGAAACAAGTGTCCTTATAACCTGCCAACATGTATTATAAAATACATATACAAGGTCTATTCGCGTTAAAGACATTTTTTACGTTTATTTTTTGCATTTTATGTTTTTTTTCTATTTGCAAAGAATAAATGTACTTTATTTAACTTTAATTTGGAGTGCAGCTAAAATGAACAGACCTACGTATTTCGTGAGGCAATATGTATTGCTTCACGTCTAAATATGCATTTATAAGATAGCATTTTTGTATTAACAGCCATTGTGCCTTCGAATTTAACGTACGATGGACAAATATGCAATTATGCGAATATTAAAAACGAAAAAATCATATTCGCTATGACTGATTAAAAATATAAGTATTACATTCCCGTTATATATACAATAATATATAAATTATATAAATAATTGTGCTATATAAGTAGAGTTGACCAAAACTTTTGAGAACAATTTTGTCAATAAAAAATTTTAGATTTGATGTAATTAATCAGGTCAACTAATAATGTTGATTCCATCTACTCTTTTTAGATTTGTGAATAATGTATTTATGTATTATAATAAATAAAAGAGACAATAATCGATAGATAAATAAAAAAAATTAATACGTGAATCATCGCCAGTCTTAGGTAAAGCACAACTTGTGCCTCATACACATGCAGCTATAAAGATATTTATATCTATTATTTTATGCCTACGAAACTATTCAATCAAATTTTTATGTATATATATATATATATATATAGTATATATGTCTTATAATATTATTAGCCTGAGATTTTTTTCGTAATTTGTTCCTTTTTATCTCGTATATTTTCTTTTCTACATGCCATAATTTTGATACGCATTAAAATAGATATATCACCATGCTATGTCATTATTTTATATATGTATAGAGGATGTTCCGGTTTTTTAATTTAAACCTGTATGATTGTAACATTCCATTATCTGATACAACAAGGACATAGCTGCCGCTTTGACGTGATATACCACTCTCTCTCTCTCTCTCTCTCTCTTTTACGTAATACTTATTGCAAACAATGCATTTAATTACAAGTGGAACTATCCTTGTATTTAATTTGCAAATATTTGTTATAATGTAGAGAGGAAGCATTTGTCCTCCTTAATTGGTTCAATTTTATACACTACGTTTCTCTCTCCGTTGATCTAAATGTATTGTATACAGTATTTAATATTATATTGCAATATATTGTATTTGATCGAATATATTTTATTATATTTAATGTCAAGTAATGAGTGACGTGTGTATATATTTATATACACTATATTTTCAAATTAATATATCTATCAATCATATAATATATATATGTATAGATATGTGTATATGTAATATATATGCATATGTATATACATATTTACAATATTATAATGAATGATTAATACCCTGATGTATTCCGTCCTAAAGTGTCCTAAATATTTAATGTTATGTAATTGCAATTTTTGCCTTTAATAAAACAAATTTATTATTAATACATTGTTTACGTTTCTCTGTAATTAGTAATATATCATAAATCGATAAAGACACAAATATACCAAAATTAATAAAGAAATATTAAAACGGCGAATACTTTTCGATTAATTAAGTGTCCATACTGCACACAATATTCTAATAAAATTCATTGTAAAAACTTTTTGCTATGGAAATAAATATTAAAGTAATATATAAATAAAAATTTCCGTTTGTATAAATTATTTTGAGACATTTTGTATTTTTTGTTTGATAAAATTATAGGTATAATTCTATAAATTATACTAGATATGTAGTCTAATTAACAATCATGTCGTTTAAATGATTTCTTCTTTAAAATATTCCCTTCTGTATTTATTTTAAGTCACCTATATTTGCACTGGCATTACGAATTGACTCAAATTGATTACCGGGAACAAGGTACTTTGGTATATACTGTACATCGGGAAATATTCCTCATTTCCCACGTTCCATCACGTTTCAGTACTAATTCAGTATAAAAAGGAAAATGTCAATAAATATTTGCATTAGTAAATGCATTGATTAATATTTACACGGAATGTCGCATCGGCATCATATATCTTGAGATCGTTTGGCTAAACTAAGGATTGTTACACGACTTGCGCGAGAAGGCATCATTCGTTCTCCAAACCACTAAGCAGATGAACACGTTTAACATTGTAGCTATAAAAAATTTGCTCGTTACATCATTCGTTATTTACATAAAAGAGATATCTTATCGCGATGCTTATCATCAAAATAGAATTACATCGCATAAGTTTGCTCAACAGATGCCAGTCATCTTCATCACATTGGTATCTACATCAAATAAACATACAATGCGCAGAATTATCGCGTGTTATCGCGTGTTATTATATAGAAGATGACAGGTGTCAGACAGGCGTCTCTGTGTCGTCCCACGTCTTGACGTTATGCCGAGATTGCGATTGAGCGTTCGAGGACTCGTGTATCACAAGACTCACAGTATCAGAGTAATCTAGGTTCATCCGACGTTCTCCATCCCGTGGTAGACTCCTGTTCGATGACGGCGAACTGCTATTCTCTGCGCTGCAGTCATGTTTAAACACGCTGTCCGATTGGGAATGCGTAGGTGTGGATATTTCAGATACTAGTGGCGTGGATTCGTCATCGCTCTCGCCACCGAGTGCCGGGGATCCCGCTGTCGGCGCGGTACCAATTAAACGGTCCTTTAACCTTGACAACTTCTCCAGGCTGGAAGTAGGCACCGATATCACCACTTCATCATTAAACGTCGAAGATGAGCGTCTCTTGATGGATACCGATGATGGCATGGTCTTCTGAGATATGTTATTTCCCATACACTTCTCGTCGGTTGACTTCGATCTAATCGCAGGCTTCGGCGATGAAGGCGGGGAAACAAATAGCGAAGACGGTCTAGTGCTAATGTTGCTGCCGCTTCTTTTTAGGGTCTTATGTGAGCAAGCGGATCTCGTACTACGTTGAGATGTAATGCTGCGCTGGGAGTTGGTACGTTGAAGGAACATGGTAGAGTCGTCATCCGAGCTGCCCGGCTCGTCGCTAATTGGTATCCAGTGAAACAGCGGACTGGCTTGAAGCAGTACATACTCCGTATCGTGTACCGAAATGACAGGTCCTAAAACAGAAGCTCATATAATATCTGCTTATCATGTGTTCTGATCAACTATAATATACATTATATGAAGCCATTTAATTCCAAATCATAAAATAGATATATTCCTTACAAAGGTTTTATGTAAAAATTTATCAAGTTATCGAAAAAGATATTTATGAAAATAAATATTTGTTTTTCAATTTTTTAAATAACTTTCTTATTTATAAATTTTCGTTCTTTAAAACGCTTGGTCATGATTGATAACGATAATTGAAGACTTTTAGACGCAAGTTACAAAGAAGGTAATATCAGATATGGTTTCCAAGAAAGTTTTATTGCCACTTGCTCTCGTAATAACATAATACTGTTCATAACATAGTGCTAATAATCTAGCAATAATGTTCATAGTGTACACATAGTACAGGAAATAACGTAGACCGGAATAATGGGACGCAATTTTTAATTTTATCGCCAAATACCATCATTTTACATACAACAGTTTTAAAAATATAATACATTGTTACACGTCGTCTCGGTTAGCATAAACATTTTCCATATGAGATATTTTGTCAACAATGCGTTATCACAGTCTTTTGTACATGAATTGTTCACAGAAAACACCAAACGATTAGCTTTGAGAGTAGTGCCTCTGGTATTTTTTAAATATCATATCATATTATATTATTATAATAATGCTTACAAATGCAGTAGAGTATGTTCGTATATAATATTACCGACTAGGTTTTTTTTTATAATGTAATCCTTTTTTGTTCAATATGGCATTATATATATCGACATTAAACTACACTGTTAGAAATTTCGTAATAAATTTAAGTAACATGTAACAGAAGTTTACTGTTACGAAATAACTGAAAAGTAATAAATGATTTAACTGTAAACTAAGTTACAGTAGTCCTAAAAGTGTATTAAATTTTATGTAAATCCACATAAAATATTATTAATATTTTATATTATGGAAAGTACATTAAATTTCATAAAATTTGATTAAATACATTTCACGTACATGTATACAAATACACTTTTCAGTTACAAATACATTAAATTTAATTAATTACATTAAATTTAATGTAATGAAATTAATTTTAATTTATGTAAGTTAACAATGTAAATTTCATGATATTTTTAACAGTGTAGCTTATAAAATGAGCATCATGTTAAACTAAAAATCCTACAAGTACGCATACAATAGTGATCTTATTACAATCATTAAATGGCTTTCATTTTGTTTTTCTTTTGTGCGATATGTATCATTGGTTTCTCGCATTGGCACGTGAGTACTTTAAGAAAATCTGTACATGTTTCTACAGAGAATAGCCTTTCATTTTATAAGTTACAAATGGCCTTATATTAACAATATATTTGTATTTTATTTGGTTTGTCGACTGCTATTGCGACTATATACATCTTTTGTTGCTAATACTGTCAAGTATTGTTCTACGGACATACAGACGTATAAATAAAACTATAAATAAGATGAAGTATGTCCTTTTAATCTTTTTTTCTTTTAACATCACAAAATGGTAAGCACCGTCCTTGAATGCAGTGATAATGATGCCTAGTCGTTGCACATTTCGATAGAAGTCACGCCGGAAAAATCTCTGCTTTTGTCATATGCGCAACGTGAGCGATTTATTTGATGGACATATACATCATCCTATAGTCATCTTATTTCAGATTTGACTAAACGTTAACACTGTATTCGGCGGAGGTGTCACTGTTTTGGTCAGGCTGCGGTGGCTCTTGCACTATTACCAGAGGCAGTGTAAGTGGTAGGGGAGTAGGCTCACCTGAAGAAAGTGAGTCTGTCGTTGGTGCCACCGCTGGCGATGGCACATCTAAAACATCCTCGCAAGCTTCCTCATTTAAGGTCTGCAGTGCTCCGCAAATCATTTGCTCCTCTAATGTTACCTGAAACGTATAAGATTATATGCATGTTCACAACAGTATTTTTTATGTTGCATATATAGATAAATAAAATTAAAAATTTTTTTATTTCTCTCTCAAAGTAACTACAACAGCTTACCTGGAACTGATACCGAGTGCGTATGTAAATAAACGAAAATGTATAATATTTTATAAGTTTTCAGTTATAATATCAATTTGTAAATTTATTTATGATTATTTTTTATAAACGCATTTAATAATATCTCATACCTGTTTTTCCATAATAGATTGCTTATTTTGATCACGACGAGTTGATCCATCTGTTCTCGATGTTCCTTTCTCTTTCTCCACGTGAGTAGACACACGTATGGAATTATTTGGCAAGGCGTGATCTATATAATGAATAAATGATCCACTAGTTGAATCAAATAAGATATGAGAGATAAGCAGATAAAAGAAAAAGATCGAACGTACCTTTGCGTAAAACTTGTTCAGATCCTACGGTAAATCGAACACTTCGACCTTCCTCGTATGTAAACGACGAGAGTTCCATTTCCCGTAATGATACAATTACCATGCGAAATAATTCCCAATCTCCAAAAGTCATTTTAAATACCTAAAAAATATTTAAAAATATATATCTGTACTTAAAACTTTTTTTTAAAATGTAAAAATGTAATACTCCAAAGGTTACTTTTTTCAATTCTTGCAAATCGCAGTGTAATAAAACTCGTCCATTAATATTATTCTCTTTGATAGCTTGCTTATATATCGGTGCTTGTACCGAATTAAGACTTTCAATTTTGTCGATCAGATCACAAACTCCGTTCATTGATAAGGACGATAGTTTTATTTCCAAAATTTCGGACTGCAAATAAAAATAAAGCAATAAGTCATATCTTTTTAACAGCAAGAAGTATTCGTACAATTAATTTATAATGTACCGGTAACGTAGTCGTTACGGAAAGTGGTTTTGCCATTGGTTCCATGAAAGGCATTTGCATCCAAGTTGGCGGAGCTTGCCATTCGAAACTTGGCTGATAACCCCACGATGGCGTTGGTGGCACGGATCCCTGCAAACTCGATTGCTTGACAAGTTTCGCATGTCGATTCGCAGACATGTTTTTTTGCGGAGCCCACTCAAATGGAACACCGTGACCGTGCCAAGTACCACTTTGTTTATGAAATAGATTCGTGTCTTCCTCTATACTCTGTTGCTCCTCTTTAATTTTTTTCTTAATATATGGATCTAGATTAATAGTGAAAGGCAAGAATATTTTCATATCACTAATGAGTAAGCTGGACCGATGGAAAGTGAGAAAAACATCCAGCTTGCGTTCGTCTCTATCTATTTCGAGAAGTGGTTGCACCTCTTTCAGTACCGGAATTTGCGGTCGTACTCTAATAAATATAAAAAAATAGTATATAATATAAATATATGTATAAGAGCGGTGTAAGAAATAGATAAAATTTTATTACAATACATATTATATAAGATTCACGTACTTATCGTAAAGACTTTTAAGTGACATATTATCATCCATAGTCTCCTCATACATGTCGTAATGAAGAATAAGCCAAGATGTCCTAAAAGGCCATTGCTCGGTAATGTTAATCCAACTAGCTAAATGATACCAGTTGAAGTCAATCTGGAATGCTTTAAGTAACCGTCCTGGAAAAGAAAAACAGATAATGTATATATAGGATAAAGTAAATTTATATATTGCAATATTATATGACTTAATGTATTACCGGTAACATAAACGACATTCATTAATCTTCTCATACTACGAGGATTCACATCACTAAAGTAATCATCGGTGAGCAGCATCTTATTGAGATCTTGTGCGCCGCCCAGTCGGTTCAAATTGCTGCCAATACTGCTAGCGATCGATTCACTTAATCGCATCTTTCTACTGCCCTTTCTAGTTTGGGGTTTCAATTTTTCGTTGCTGTTCATTATAGCCGATTCCGTGCTGAGTCTTCTACTCGATACAGAGTGATGCATAGTGCTGGTTGCAGTATAGTTAACACTCTCCTCAGCCTCCGTCCATGCAGTCTTTTTGTAATGCTGAGCAGTCTGTTGCGCAACCTTGACTTTACGTAAACCGCTATTTTGCAAGTAGAATGGCAAATGCACCATATTTCGCAAGTAATCATGACCACCGATATTCGATTCCGAGAATAGTCTTCTGCTATTTACTTCTACCGCCTACACGCACAATATCAAACGATAATTATCATTAAAATAACATCTCGAAAATTGATATTACGATTTGTCGATTTTTTTAAACATTTGTTGCTCACCTTAGATATAATATGTGGATCAATTGCGAGTATTACGACAAAAGGATATCCGTTATCGCTAAATAAGGCCTGTATAGCATCCAAAACGAGTAGAACTTTATCCTGTTCGCAACTATCCAAACCGTCCACTATGACAACTAGTCTACTTTGTTGAGCCATGAAACTATCCAAGCACTTGACCTATTTGAAATCGTGATTAAAAGCTACATTGCTGCAAACAAAGTTGTAATTGTTATTTTAATAGATGAGTAATTTACCATTTCCGTCATTAAATTGACTTCACTTTTTAAAGTCTGAATGAACCCTTCGCTCTTTAGAGTTTCTAATTTTGATATACTACGTTGAAGATGCCTCCTCTGTGAAAAAAACAATGCCTGCAGTGTTCTACTCCACGTGTACAAATTTGCTATTATACTGATGGCCAATACCAAAGCGATCGATATCATGATAATGTGAGCAGTAACTCGCTCTATCGTGGATCTAAAGACATAATGATATAAAATAAGTAACATAAAAGTGAAGAGAGAATACTCATATCCGGCATATAATTACGTACTCATCGTTGGAAAGATCTATGAGGTACACCGTAAGTATCGAAATACCGACGAGCAAACTGCATAAGCAGAATTCAAATATGACTACGTAAGGCAAGCAGCATAAACGTCTCCATTTCCACGTAGTGGTCGATTTATCCGGTTTTGGTCGAAATGCTCTGTATAATCTGGTAGGTAGAGAACCGTAATCATTCTCAATGGAATCGTACAATGAGCCCACCATTTGCACAACCGCGTTCTCACCGGCAGCAGTCGTACCCACACGGGTTTGATCTGTGAAGTAAAACTTTATCGGCTGCACTGCTATGCCATCGTGACATTGGCTGCCTGGTGGGTGACAAAAGATCACTTGTAATAGCAGTTTTAGAGCGTTCAACTTGGTGGTAAGCGCTACTGTCAGATTATACGGCCAGTACCAATCGTATCTATTAGATTAGAGATATTCGATAAGAACATCGTATGTGAAACAAATAGAACTTTACTTTTTGCTGTTTTTCGTAAACCTTACCTCTTGTTGGCATACCAGACGAGTATCAGAAAAATATAAATGACAACTAGTAAACTTATTCCAGATGATAGACCAATGATCCACGATTGTAAACCGAGGCCAAGTGTGATACCCACAAGTAAGGATACGTGAATAACTACTAAAAAGAGTAAGGAAGAAAATTGGAATACTGGATCGATCCATTGTCGTGCAAAGTTCTTCATTTCCTCTGAAAAATAATCGTTAATAGTTTTTCACAAAACTCAAGTGTATATCTATAGATACACTGAAAAATAATACTCAGAAATCTAATTTAAATTGCCTAAATCTAATTTAAATATAAAATAACATCTATTTTACTTTACATTAAATTAAATTTTGAGTTCTTTAAATATTTTTTTAAAAGGAAATTTAGTTTCAAATTCATCAAAGAATTATCAGTTCATAGAAAGAATTTCTGTGATATTCCGTAAAATTATTAAATAGCAATATAATAGCATATTTGATAATACCTCTTAATTTGTTTAGCAAAAATGATTTCCCAGAGCCCCATTTAGCATAAAGACCAACAGTAATTGGTGTAGAAAGCGATGGTTCACTGAGAATGTCTGCCAGTGCACTGCTGTATAAATCGTAACCCAGCATGTTTTCATTGTCCTCGTTAGTATTTAAGCGCCCTATAATGTTTATCAAATTTTCTTATAAAATGAATTAAAACATTGAAAAAAAGTATGTTTTTCACATATCATAAATTAAGTTACCAATAATAATGCAACACAAATAAAAGCATACGTGATACTTGATTAACTTACGAGCACCGAATATCTGACCAAGCATCGTCTTGGGATGATTGACATCGATGTTGTAGGGGGTTTCGCCTTGTCTATTCGGACGGTACAATAACTGGCTATTTTTTGGATTCCTCAGTAGTATCTCGACGATCGCTTTTGATCGCGCGCGCATCGCTATGTGCAGTACAGTGTCGCCCTTCTTGTCCGTAGCCGAGACCTTGGCTTTCTTGTCTAAAAGCAATTGCACGATTTCGGCGTTACGCGACCTCACCGCCCGTAATAAAGGCGTGTCGCCGTCTTTCGTGGCAATCTCCAGGTCTGGGTTAGCGTTTAGTAATAATTTGAGTATTGGTATATTGCCTTTCTCTACTGCTATGTAAGTTGCGGTTTTTTTATCCTAAAATATATACGGATGGGGTCGTTAGTTCGATTTGAACGATTCAAAGTACTCGCGGGGGTGTCACGAACCTAGCTCGAAGTAGCTTAGGGATACCACATGGACCGGATCCATTACCATAAGATCTTTTTTTATTAAAGTACCTATCATACTTGAATATAGAGATTACTTTAACAAGTTTCACATATCTCACCATGTTGAACTCGACACGTGTAACAATTCGGAATGATCAACAATTGGAAACCGCAATGCTCGGTGAAAAATATAATTTTTTCCAAGTCGATCTTCGAGGAAGATACGCGGGTATTAGGAAGAATAAGTTGAATTACGTACCTTTCCAGCAATGTCGACGTCCGCATATTTCTTTAGCAGCGATTCCACCACACCCCGATGGCCACCTTTAACCGCATGGATCAAATTCGTGTCACCAGCTCGATCCTGAATATTAACGTAAGCGCCGGCATTTAAAAGAGCGTTCGCTATTTCGTGATGGCCTTCACGGCAGGCAATAGCTAGGGCGGTGCAACCATCCTTGTCTAGAGCGTTGACGTTGGGCTTGTGCTCCAATAGTAGCGATACCACCTCCACGTGATTGCCGAGGGTTGCCACGACCAGAGCAGTCCATGAATACTACAAAGACAGTCGTTAAAAAGACATAAATATCACAAATTATCTTGATATCTAAAATTAGAAAAGTTCTTAAATATTTCTCATTACATTAAAACGTTACTATTTACGATCATTTTACTGTATTATTTTTCATCAACTTGAAATCCATCACTTTTTCGAACCATTTTTCATTATGGTTTATCGATCTTACCATGCCTGCTGTGTCGACATTGGCCCCAGCTTTAAGAAGATTATCAACGATTTCTATATTTCCCTTGCGCGATGCCCATATAAGTGCCGTTGTGCCATACTGAAAAAATAATGAGCATGAGTATCCCAAGAGTAAAGCATTGGCCATCGATTTATAGTATGCCCGCCGACTATTACCTTGTCGCCGACATTGACCTTTGCTCCATGAGCAATGAGATCTTTGACTATATCAATATAACCCCTGCCAGCGGCCCATACTAACGAGGATATATGAAAATTTCCATGCGCGTTGACGTCAGCTCCGCGCCCCAGCAACATCGTCACCGTCGCCGACTTGCCCTTGTACGTCGCCCACATGAGTGCTGTCCATCCACCCTGCAATAAAAATGCAATAAAAAAAAAACCTTCGATTTTTTATCAGCAAAACGCTAATTTTTTAAAATAAAGATATTAATATAATTAAACTCTTCCACATTTTTAAATTTTATATATCTCTGTTGAAAGCTAAAATGTAACTTGTTCAACGAAAAATGTATATAATGGTATTAATTATAGAAAATATCATTAAACAATGTTAATATGTGATATATTAATATGTTAAACATTTTAATAAAATTATACAGGGTATCTTAAAATTTGTGACTCAAAATATTGTAGCAAGAAATTCAAAAATTTGCTTACTATAGTATTCTTATTTTGAATTTGTGTGTATGAATTTTGAAATACCCTTATATTTTAATGGAAATAATTTTGGCAAAATAATTTCGATGAAAGAGAGAAAATAGCATAAAACTCCTGATATGTATGACGAAAGAAGATAAAATTTTTACAAATACATATAATGCTAGTTTGAGTTAATAATGGCATTATGCCAAGCTAGTAAGTATGCAACTTCTTCTGACCATGTCTCGATGTTCCAAATTGGCGCCGTGTTCGAGCAATTCGAGACAAATTTCGGTGTGGCCTTCCTTCGCTGCACACAGTAACGCCGTCCAATTATCCTAAGAAATTATATACAAATGTAAATATACTGAAATTTTTATTTAATATACATATATAATTAAACGGATACTAACTGCGTCTTCAGCATTAACATCCGCTCCATGATTGATGAGCTCTCGGACAAAGTGTATTTTTCCCTTGGTTGCTGCAAGGATGAGGGCGGTACTACCGTTCTATTGTAAGAGAATAATTTGTTAAAGAAAAAGTTCGAGAATTTAAATACGACGATGAAGCAGGAAGAAATTTTATTCATGTAACCATGATTTTCATTATACATATATAATTTAATTAACCCAGAGAAACTATCTTATATAAATTATAATTATCTCTATATTATTATTTATTCTTCAAAAATTTTCTACCCTATGAAACTGAGACTTTTATTATTTATTTATATCGATTGCTCTATTATCATTTTGAAATTTTGTACACATCTTTGAATATCTTTTCGATCGATTCACGCTCACTTACTTCATCTCTGTCGTCGACCTGCACTCGCTTATTTTCGAGAAAGCTCTGCAGTCCGACGAGATTATCATCTGAGATATAGCTCGCGAGTGATCGGTAACAAAGCGATACCATCGAGTCAGTCCGATGCAATGTCTGTGGAAAAATCAAGAGAGATTGTCGTGAGATTCGATGCTGTGTCCAATTTTTCCTGCTGTTATTAAAAATCTGTTAGGAAAACTCGGGTAAAATTAGGTAAATCCAATCGCTGTTTATAGAAAAAAACAAATATACATATGTGAAATATAGCAAATTGCACCATTCAATTCCTTTATTCAGAAATATCATAATGGTTAAGTATAAAATTAAATGATCTAAAAAATATGTTTGGATCTCTCTCCTTTTGAGTTTATCTAAATTTTATCTTTTAAATTTAGATTTTTTTTCATTGTGAAAACTATCTAAACTCTGTACATATATATTTATTCCTCTATTTAATCCAGTTTTCGATAATACATTATGCTTCGACGCAAATGGTGCAGCTGGACCACCAACATGTTACAGAAGTAAGCTTTCGAGTTATCGAAATGCGCGAGCAGCGAAGCAAGCACCATAATTTTGGATCGTCGATAAAAGGCAGTCTCGCAAGTATTAATCCAAGCAAATAAATCGAAAAATGTACCTCCCAAGATTTCTGAAATTCTGATTCATACTTCTCGGTTTCCTTGTTAAAGCTCGCGCCTGTAAATGGCATCCGCAGTTTCAACTTCAAAGTAAAATAAAAGAACGCATTATCGCTTCGATTCTGCATTGAAACAGAGATCGGTATTATGCAGCCGAGTTTTTCCTCTGTTCCCGAGCGATATTGGATTTATGACGTTTTGTTTTAACAGCGACAGCAATGAGTACGTGAGAGAATTGCGTGTTATGTGTATTAACTGTAATCGTTTCAATTTAGTTTGCAACTGCACGCGAAGTGTTCTCCATTCGCGATAAAAGAATTAGAGAACGCCGCTTGTGTTTCTCAATCTTGCGGAATGGAATCTGGGTCAGCGATAATGATGAGGGACACACATGAATGATAAGGGACCATATGTATGGAGAAAGTAGTGAAGCTGCACAAAAAGTTGGCAATGTTACTTGTAAATTTTAGATGCAAAGCAGAATAAAAGAAGTAGAATCATCTTGTCATACTTCATTCGCGCGAACTAACTTTAGTATTTATTATTAATTGTTTCCTATTATGTTAATTATTTTTAATTATAGTATGTCAATTAATTTTCTATTTTTATGATTGTATACATACGTTTCTCTCGTTACAATTTTTTGTTTTGTTCAAAATAACTTCATCTATTTTTCTTCTTATATTATTTGTTCAACACTCATATTATTCCTCATGCCCAGCTTATATAAGTTAATTAGTGACAGAAATTTTGCACGCTCAGGCAGTACTTACGGTAAAATCCGATTAAAATTATCGCATTTGTTGTAATGTTCTGTGCACCGACTTTTACATTGCGAAATTGGATACATATACATGTATCAGATGTTATAATATTTTAGATGTTACTACCACAAATGTAGGTTAAACCTCGAACAGGGATATAATCCTGTAGTGAATATTATACGTATTTACTTTTTTTTAATTGAAAGATTCTGTAGCTACAATTTAATGACATTTCGTCGACGTATATATTATCGATGAAATCTATGCAATTTAATGCGCGTAAATCGACTTGGCATTTACAGTATGTAAGAGGATAATTCTAATACACCCCTTGACGAGATTATACTTGTAATCCTTCGATGCGAAAGTCCTGCACTTCCCTCGCGTAATGGTGATAGTAATAACCATTAAACTTTGCTACAAATTATATTGGAGTAGAACAAAAGTTCGTAGCGCTATACAAACTTCAAAATTCGAGCAATTATAACTCGATAAAAATGAACAATTTATATATAAATATATAAAAAAAAGTTTTAAATTTTAAAATCTCTACTTTCGGAAAATCACATGTCTTTTGAGTGTTTCTGGGAAATTAGTAACTTTTACATTTTTTAGAGATATATATGATATAAATGAAGTAGGTCGCTACGATCCAATAAATTACACAAATCACATAAACTCTGTCAGTGTTAAATTCAGATATTTTTAACAATTTTGTTGATAATTCAGATTTACATTTCTAACAGAATCGTCTTTCGTATTCTTTTATCAAGCATTTATTCGTATTTTTAATCTAAAACGTGCTTCGGCGTCGATTTTCAAATCAGATTTACCCTGAGAAGAAAAGTGTCTTTTTTCGATGTCTAGAATCGCTTACAAGGATTATAGCACCATTCGTCTTTTACTACGGTCCGAACTCTACTGAATAAAAATCCGATGCGAGCGTGAAAACGCATACAGGCACACACACACGCATACACACATAGAGATACATTAGATCAGGTCTATTTCATGCGGTTGATTTTGTCACTATGCTGAAATATCTGGCAGTGGCATGACTTGGGTATTATATGCACCACAGTAAATGATACTGATGCGTGTTTTGCATCGAGATGAAATCAGTGTCACTGTGTTAATTTGCAAGTGCCGGCGGATGTGGCGCGAGCATTAGCTGTCAAATCGATGAAAGAACCGAGTCGGGCAAGATTCCACTATGTGTGCACGTGACGTTTGCTGTTATGTGTCTCCAAAATTTTCTCTGACACGTGGCACTAATACATTTTATCATATAATTCATATCACAGATATTAGTCTATATATATATATATATATATTACATATTATACATGTATATATAATGCATTAAATCTATCAAATTATATATAGTCATACAGTTCGTCATTAAGTAAAAGGTGGTGGTTTTAAAATCATAATAATTTGTTAAAAATTTCTGAAATAAATTAACTTCAACTAAATTTTGAGATTGAAAAGTGATGCGTTTATAGAGAATTTTAGAATGGTAGAATTAATATGTTTCATAGATGTATATAATATAATCGTCCAACTTTTTAACTGTAGTAATTTTTTTTTGTAATATTTTGTGAAATTATTTAATTCAAATTAATATGACGTAAGACAATAGACGATTCAATTAGTCTAAGATAATTATTAAATTATCTAATAATTATCTAATTATGGCCATGATATTCAGTTTCTACTTGTAGATTAATTATCGCTATAAATGCAGCAGGTCCGATAAGATAAAAATTCAAGTTATGACGGAAGCGTTGACGTTCTTCGGCGGTCTGCAATTGCAATAACAATTAGCATTCTATTATTTGTAACGAGAGCGTTGTCATCGTTTTAACTCCGTTCGATCTTAAACAGGCGTGTCGATGTAAAGCGTAAATTATTTTCACCAGAGCATGTGCTAGTATACGAATTAATCAAATCTAATGTTACAGAGTCACTTACGTCAACGTCTAATCAATATGACACGTGATATCATCGCGCTTGAGTTCATGCTCGGTAAAAAAAGTAACAACAAAAAAATTTTAATTTTTCTCATTTGTTCAATTTATCAGTACAATTTGGTTATTTCACGCCATTTTTTCAATAAACATTGAAATTCATCGCTAAAGACTGTTATACATATATAAATGATTTAAAGGATTCAGGCCAAAATTCTATTTGTACGATCTCTTTTAACTCATGCCATAGTGCCAGATTCGAACAGGTAGCTCTTAGGGGTATAACGTCATATTTCGAGTAAGTGTTATGAACTAATAAATCTATATTATCTATTTACATTAGTTTCTAAATATTATTTGTTAATATTATATGCTATGTTAGCTTCTTACCAAATCAAAAATGTTTTACTTGATTAAAAGAAATAGCCAAACTTTTCAACGGATTAATAAAAAGAAAAAAAAATGTTAACAAAACTGGCGAAACGACGTGCATCCTGACTCTACACTAACCGCCTGTGAATGCCTTCGGATGGCGAAGTTAAATTTGCGACCGATACCATCGGTGGCTGGCGTTGTGAAGGTGATGGTGGGTACGTGAATGTGCGGGAACACATGATGATGATGATGGTGATGATTGTGCAAATGATGATGGTAGTCCTCGTCGTGCCAAGTCGTGGGATGCGACTCAGGTATATGAAGACGAAGAAACGACCTTAATCTGCGACGCGTTCTACCAATGGAAATGTCGTCGCTGATGCTGGTAGAGGTGGTTGACAGATTCGACAATGTGGCACTTCGCTGCAGATTGTAATCTCCATTCGGTAAGAGAGAATTCGGCACACCGGGAATAGCTCCGAGCAAACTGGGAGCCAGACTCGAACAGATAGCTGCGTTTGCAATGCTGGACTTCCGAATTGGGTTCACGCTGGTGCCAGCTAAGATATCGTCAAAGGTCGGTGACTTCTGGCTGATCTCCGTCGTAGGGTTTAGTAAGGCTTGGTTCAAATCAGAGCTCGTCATCGGCAACGTTAATCTGCGACCACCGCTGGATTTCTCGTCGAAACTGTCTCGAATAACGGCTATCAATGGTTGTGGCACTGTATTATGTATTTTCTCGATATTCGAGCGTTCTTTCATACTTGTCGATCGTTCTGATAATGTTGAGAAACAAAAGTGTTGATCGCTAGATCTTGAAGGAACCTTTAAGAAATCAGGCATCAATTGAGACTGCTTCGATTTAGCCATAGCAGTTGATTTCATAGGAGGATGCATTGGGTAGTCTCCGATTGATGAAGGTTGAAACCTCGCGGATGATTCCTTCGTAATGACATCTTCGTGTTTGAGCGAAGGGAAGACACCATCGGAATCCGTTATCGGCACTGTCAAGCTTCGTGTTTCAACTTTCGAAATCACATCACTGTCCCTATTGTATTTTTCTTTTGCATTACGACAATCTGATATCGCGTACTCGTTCACATTGCTGGGTAACGAACTACAGTTTTCGAACGATTGTGAGCGTTTAAAAATGCGATCTCTCACGCGCGCCGCGCCGTCTAAAGAGGAGGCCGAAAGTTCAACACCAGATGCGACCACTTTTGAAGAAATCTCCGCGTTTGTAATGTTAGTCTTCCTTTTGACTTTTATCGAATCGCCATCAGAAGAAACAAATCTCTTTTCCGATTCTTTTGTTAGCGCGGCTTTGTCCTCTTTCCCTTCATCGTCGTCTTCATCGAAACTATTACGGAAGAACGCCGCTGCAATTCTAATACGCTCGTCTTTGGCCTTCCGCATGGCATTCTCTTTGAACTGTCTATTCACGAAAATTGAAAACGGCTTTCATTTGCTGTGAGTAAAATATGCACACACGTAGAATTATCGAATTTTAACACTTAAATATATTTTTCATTATGTGAAAATGATTCCATCATGAATAGGTATATGAGAACAATTCGAATTTACAGTGATCTTAATTTATAGTGAAATGTTTCTTAAAGAAAAAAAATCTACTATTTGAGAATAATATAATCCATTAATTTAATGCAAATAAATATATTAATGTTTCACACAAATATAATATTACCAGTTTAAAATATATAATTGCTTTTTAAAAAAAAGAAATACAATTTATCGTTATTTAAACGCAGTATAACGCAATTTGATTAATAGATTAGATAAGGTCTCTGTACACGGTCAGTATCAACGAATATTGACAATATTACTGATTGTGTGTGGTTAATATTAATGGATTGACGTAGAATACTGACGATGATTTGGATTTAAATACATGCTTTTTCCTTAAGATCCATGCCCCTATAGATAATAATATATGTCAAATCACGTCAAACAGAAGTAAAATATTATCAATAATACCTGATCGTATTATTGATAATATTTTACTTCAGTTTGACGTGAGATTGTAAAAACTAATGTATACTGTCAGTAATACTGACTCACAATCAGTATTACTGACCGTGTAGAGAGGCCTATAGACGTATGATACACAAAAAAAAATTCTCCCGATAAGCGGGGAATTCCTCTTAGCATTTCCTCTAAGCAAAAAGTTTTACGTGAATCAAGCGTGTATATTTATAACACGCATTCATTTATAAAAATGAGAACACGTGATTAAAAATAAATTTCTCTATAAATTATATAATAGAATTTCTCAAGAAAATTCTATTATAATAACTGGAATAGCCTTTTAAAATAAGAAAATATACAAGATATTGGCGGCACGTTTATTAATTAAAAGTTCGTCATTCACGTGCTATCGTAGCTACGTGTGCATGTCAGTACATGCGAGACATTCTTCTATAGTATTAAGAGCATTGCAATCCTAAATCCAGCACTTTATAGTTATATGAAAATAATGTATGTCTCACTGTTTAAGACGACTAAACGCTTCTTAAAGAGCTACATATAAATCTGTATTTTTAAGATACATTAAATTCGTAACTTTTCTTATCAATAAAATAATAAATTTCACTCGTTTTTTGCAATACAAATTAAATAATTAAACGGTCTAAATCGAGCTAAATGGATTTAATAATTATATATTAGATTTACAATATAAAAAAAACTAACAAAAAATATATTTAATAATTATATTAGATTTACAATATAAAAAAAACTAACAAAAAATATATCGTAAAAAAACTAATTAACAAAAAATGTACGTTTCGGGACTCACAGGTCTTTCTTCAGCGATTATTACAGATGTTAACATCTGTTGTAATATTACAGATGTTGTAACATCTGTAATAATCACTGAAGAAGGACCTGTGAGTCCCGAAACGTACGACATTTTTTGTTAGTTTTTTTATATTGTAAATCAAATATGATTATTACATACATTTAGCTCGATTAAGACCGTTTAATTATTTAATTTTCTTATCAATCATCAAAGAATTAAAACCAGTTAATTAAAACATGGAAACTAATTCAGTCAAATTCAGACGTGTATAAACATAAATTCAATTTCCAAGAATGGGTAAGAATATACGTTATCAAATACAGATTGCGATTAAGTATATTATTTTGCTACTCCCAGCATCGAAAGACCCAACTCACATACCAGTTTCAATCTCTGCCACTGTGATTAGAGTTAAATCCCTCCCCGAGGAACCGCGATCGTAAGATTATCATTGGTATACCGTGAAAAACGGACCCTCGACAGAGTGGTGAGTCGCAGCATTTTTTCCAAATTTCGCGTGGTCATCCAATTGATCGGATCTCGCTAATCGGCGGCCAACGGCTTCACGACTTCTCGCGCGACTTCTTCCTCGTCGTTAGGAGACAATTGCAGAATGTCGACTCAGAACTGTAACCGAGCGAGACACCGACGACGCCAGCAAATCGCTCGGGAACAACATTCAGCGGATACACATCACGCGACATTTATATATCGCGGTGGGATCTCTTTAACTTCGTGTACATACGCACAGTCTGAATCGCGTAACAGCGCGTGCTGTGTCGTCAGCGCCGTAAGTTTTTTGGTTCGGAAATTGTTTTTTTTTTTTTCACGCGGCATATCGCTGTTTTAATTCAATGTTCAGATTCATGAACTGTTTATAAACAAAATGTATGTAATTAATTTTGTAGCAAATGAAAAAATCTTAAAAGACAATGCAATGTTGAGATAATTTTGAAGTCCTATAATATTGATTTGATGGTGATGAAGTCTTCCAAAAATACTATATATATACATATAAACAAAGTTGGCAAATTTTTTGTCATGATTTAAATGATTCAACTTTATGTAAAAATCAGAGCAAACTTGTTATAGGAATGAATTGCTACATCTAACAGTGAGAATCTAACTGCGAATTCTTGACTTTTAGTAAAAGTAAAAAAAAATGTATTTTGCTTGTATGATATCGCTGATATTTTAAACAGAAAAATAAATGCCGTGTAAAATATATCGTTACATTGGAATCTAAAAAAATTATTCGGAACAGAATTCCGGTCTTGATAAGAGAGAGAGAGAGAGAGAGAGAGAGAGAGAGAGAGAGAGAGAG